AATGTCTTTCATTTCTGTCTTGCTCAAAAGGAAGAAATAAAATACATTCTTGGGTCTTGTCTGATTCCAGGATGCAAGGACACTGCCTCTCTCTAAGTAATTATACCATTTTCTCCACTATGCCAAACAAAATTGTCACATATGCTGACTATCCAAACTGGAGCACTCCCACCCTTAAAAAACCTGATAATGCTGTTAAAATGTTCAATCCATACATAGCAACTTCAAATGCCTCATGTGCTCCTACTGAAAATTGTACTGCTCAATGTATTTGCCTTCACATAATACTTGGAATTGTTCTAGTTATGAGCCAGTATTGTGTGGACATGGACACGGTCCTCTCCCTGCTGGACGGTTTTCTCAGGTGAAGAGTAGACCTTCAATTACATCCGTGCTAACTTATCTCAGAACACAAACTGTTGCCTTAGTCACCTTACTGTATTGTTGCCTTCTCCAGAATTTACACTGTCTCACACCAAACCGTCTACAACCAGTCTCATTGACCTATATGGGGACTTTACTATTAGCCTGTTAACCAAAGCAGGAATTTATGCCTTAGGTATTTCTCTGGTTGGTGTGCGTGCCCTGGCAGCCAGGGCCAATTGCAATGTTAATGCACTAGTTTGTCTCATGGCAAAACAAATCAAATATACGTCTACAGCTTTGGCATTACTAAACAAAGAACAAAGTGAGCAGTGACAAGTGATTTTAGATAATCGTACTGTAGTTGATTATTGCATCATCATGGATGTAATGAAATTGCTTAAATGTGCTGTTTTAATTTGTCTGATGAAAATAAATCCATAAATGGGAAACTTCATGATTTACCAGACAGATACATGTGTCCCAAGGACCCAATGCTCGATTATGGAATTTCCTTTTTTTTTTTTTTTTTTGTCTTTTTCCTTTTTATCGGTACCGGGGATCAAACTCACGACTGCCTGCTTGCAAGGCAGGTGCTTATGCCGCTGAGCTAAATCCCCAGCCCCACGATTATGGAATTTCCTTACAGGATGTTTACCAGGTATCAATCGGCTAACATGCCAGCTTCTAAAATGGTAACAAAGTCTAAACTAAAAAAAGAAGGGAGAGATGTAGAGAGGCCACATTGGCTCCATTTTGTCCTGGACACATCCGGTTGACAGTATAAGTTCAGGAAAAAGTTCAGGCCTTGAAACATCATCCTCACCCCAAGGTAAAAACATGAGATCCAGTAAAGTCAAGAAGTAAACAAGTTGAATAATCTAAGCATGAGCAATTTCAGTTTCTTTGTTCTTTATCCCAATAAAAGCTACTTGCTTAGGCTGGCAGGGCAGCAGCCATTTTGCTGGCCCTTAGTGTGTGTGTCCCTTTATTTTCCTTTTGCTTGCAGGACCCCACCAGTAATGCATCACATAAAGCAGAGCACAGTCAAAAACCATAATCATGTCAACACACGCAGGAAGGACTTTCAACAATGTGCAATATCCCTTCATGATAAACACTCTGAAGAAAACAGGTATATAAGGCCCTTAGTTCAATATGATAAAAGTAACTTTTATGACAGACCAACAGAAAGCACCACACTGGAGGGTCAAAAACTGAAAGCTTTCACTGTAAAACTGAAAAGAAATCCAGACCTCACTGGAAACATTCTGTGCAATACAGCTCCAGCTACTCTGTTCTCTGCCACTGACCTCAACTAAACCATGAGTTATCATCAAATTAAAAGTTCTGTGAATGTGCTACAAAAATTTTGCTACATACATGAATGCTCAACTGAAGATACCCCCTATACCATAACTTTCAGCAAAAGCCTATTTGATTTTGTAACTTCTGATTGCCACCCTACAAATAAAACTAACTCTCTGTAGTCAATACCTCAGACTTTGCAGATTACTTTTCTGAGGTCTGCTAGGGTCAGTACAATTTCCTTTTTTCTCCTGACCTGGCTACTACCTGACACTCTAAATAGAAGATCCAAGAAAATCCACCTGTATTGGTTACCTTTTTGTCATAGCTGGGAGAAAATATCTAACACCCAAAATGAACGAAGGAAAGGTTTATTTAGCTGTTTCTGGAGGTTTCTGAAAGGCTTTTCTCATGTGTGGGCTAACATGGTGCTGGACGGTGCCACCCTGTGTTTCAGAGTGATATAGTTTTTAGACCTAAAAATGAAACCTCCTACTTTTCATGCATGCCAACCCTCCTCCAATCAGCTATCAATAATACATTACTCCACCTGTTCCTTAAATTCTACCCGTCAAATTCTGAATAAAGCCCGCAGTTTTTTTCTTAAAAACTTCCAGAGGGTGCTTGCGTCTTTGGCAGCCCTCCTGTGCCCACACTAATGGCCTCCTCTCTTTCCTTCTGTTTTTTCTTTTTGTCTCTCATACATTAGAAGACCAAATGATTTCAGTCCATAATCAGCTGGCTCCAAGGCAGGGTGGCACAGCACCAAGGCAAAAGATGAAGGCAGCAATTGGCAAAAGCAGCCAGAGCAAAAGAGAAGAGCAGGCCTCTTTTCCTCCCTTATACTATATGCAGGCCACTCCTACCCCCCTTCTGCCCCCTCCGCAGATACACCACACACGAAATCTCTGCTTCCTCCTGTTGCACAGAACAAGGGTATTTATAGGGTCCTGACTCCTTGTTAAGTTTCTTAAGCTTTTAAGCTTACATTGACACAATGTATCAACCATACCACCACCCAACATCTCTTAGAATTTGTAACCAACTTCAGCAACACAGCAAGATACAAGAGTGACACACAAAAATCTTTACCCATTTGTACACAGCAGTAACAAACTGGGTAAGAAGGAAATTATGAAAACAATATCATTCATTAGCTTCCAGAAGAATGAAATACCTATGGATCAACTGGACCAAGGAAAATGAAAAGACCTCTAAAAACTATAGCACTCTGAAAAGAGATTGAAGACATCAGGAAATGGAAAGATATCCTTTTTTCCTGAATAGGCAGATGCAGCATTATCAAAACTGGCCAAGGGCCAAGGATTTAGTTCAGCAGCTCAAGCACTTGCCTGGTAATTGCAAGGTTGTGAGTTCAATCCCCAGTACCAAAAAAAAAAAAAAAACAAAAAAACAAAAACAAAAACAAAAACAACAACAACAAAAAAACCCCAAAAGCAAAATAAAAAAACGAAAATCCTAGCCATTTTCCTCACAAAACAGCTACACAGATTCAATGCAGTCCCAACTAAAACACCAACAGCACACATTATTTATTGTTTGAGACAGGGTCTCACTATGCAGTTCAGGCTGGCCTTGAGCTCACTTCATAGCTCAGACTGGTCTTGAACTAGCAATAATAATCCTGCCTCAGCCTCCCAAGTGCTGGGATTACAAACATGTGCCAACATGCTGAGCTTTCAACAGCGTACTTTATAGAACTTGAGAAAATGATCCTAAAATGTGTATAAAGACAGAAGAGACACAGAATAGCAAATGAAATTTTAGGCAACAAGAGCAAAGCAGGAGAAGCACAGTTAATACCTAATCTCAGTTATACTACAAAACAAAAGTGATAAAAATAGCACATTACTGGAAGAAAAACAGATGTATGCATAAATGGATCAGAATACAGGATACAGAATCTTTCCCAGACACATTCATTTATTTGTTTTATTTTGTTTTTCATTTGGTGGAGAGAGTGTCTCTCTAAGCAGTTCAGACTGGTCTTTAACTTCCTGTATAGTACAGGCTGGCCTTGAACTCAAGCAATCTTCCTGCTTCAGTCTCCTGAGTATTCTCATTAGAGACATGCACTATCACACCCATTCAGTTATGTGATCTTAGACAAAGGAGCCAAAAGCATGGGCTGGAGAAAAGACAGCCCATTCAACAACTGGGACAAAGGGATGGATCTCTGGCAATACAAAAGTGGTCCAAGAGAATGAGGGCAAAGCCTGAAGTGGAGGAGAAGGGGAAGGAAAAACACAGGCTGCACACAGAACCTAATGAGCTCAGTGAATGCAAACACCATCTGCCATAGCAGGAACTGCCAGTGATGTCTGCCAAGGCTCCAGGCAGGAAGGGTTCTGACCACTAAGCCCCAGACTTGCAGCTAGGAACCTGTATAGGCAGGGCTGGGGCAGCATCAGCAGAGAAGTCCATGGACTCTATAGTTTACCTAGAAGCTCGCTTCCAGCTCTGAGGCCACTTTTTACTCAATGATTACTTAGGTGAGACTTAAATTTAAGAGCCTGCAAAAGCTTAGTACACATTCTGCCAATCTCACAAGGGCCCTGGCCCAGCCCAGCATCAGCCAGGAAACAGAAAGGGCTTGGTTGAGACGCAGCACAAGGTGAGACTCAGGCCCCAGCCCCTGACACAGGACCCCAAGGCTGTGTTCCCATCATCTCCCAATGCCACAGGGGTGGCCACAGGCCCCAGTTTCCTACTCTCCTAAGCTTCATTCATTCTGTGTATCTAGACATGAGGTGACAATGGCTTCCTATGACCTGGGGAGCTCAGTGCTCCTGCCTTGACTCCCTCTTCCTCTCTTCTTTGAAAGCCACTCATAGTTTCAGCAGTACAATTCAATTAAAAGTACTTTTACACTTTAGTAATAGACATTTCAATTAATAAAAATGCCAGAGAAAGGGCTGGCCAGCCTCAACACCCCCCCCCCCCCCTGCCGCCACACACACACAGCAGACTCCTCAGCGAGCACCTGAGGCCAGGATCCTGTGTGCAGCCAGGTCATTCCCTGGAACCTGAGGCCACCTGACAGATTTCAATGGCTGTGCATGTTCACTTCTGCATCACAAGAGTTTTTATCTACAATTTCCAGATCCCATTTTTTCTCTAGATAAAATCCAATGCATGCTGAAACAGCTCCTCCCTGCCTCTTGGCCTGTTTCCAACTGTTGATCAAATCTCCAACTCAACTGAGGCACAGCAGTGCACACACTGCATGCAATCCCAGCATTTCGGAGGCAGAGGCAGGAGGATCACAGGCTCCAGGTCAGCTTGTGCTACAAGGCAAGATCCTGTGGGGGGGAAAAGAATAAGTCTGAGTAACCTTGAGGGGAAAATCTCTTACGGTCATTGGGCATCAGTATGTAACTTTCACCCATTCTTGTGCTGCTTTATGATCTCAGAATTCACTCCTGTTTAATCACACTTTTATTAAGTGGACTGACTGACAAGTAATCTCACTTGCAAAAACACCACCAGAAGCACCAAAAAAATGAGGGGCTATAAGACCTGACACATATAAGCCCAGAGAGGGTCGAAGCCCCAGTGAGCAAAGCCCACAGCTACTGGGATCAGCAAAAGTGACGGCTGAACTATGTAAGTGACTCCTCTCACATGGCAGACTGGAGGGAAAAGTAACCAGTGCACTGGACGCCTGACTGAAGGGTTCTCCCTGCAGCCATTTTAGGGAGGTTCCCTGTCTAAGACTGAGGTACCCAACACCTATATTTCACAGTGACTGGGTGGGAGACGGCTGTGAGCAATGGACACATCCTTGGTCCCTAGCTCTGGGCTCAGGCCCAGAATGACACAGATACCCTGTCCTATCTGCTGAGAAGCCAAGTCAGTCCACTGTGGCTTCTGGAGGGCATTTGGTCTAAATGTTGGCATGAAGCCTGGGGGTCTCCTTGAACCCCCACCCTGCTGCCCAAATCCAGCAGAGCAGTGCTGTTTGCTTTCTTTCTGTCCCTATGTGACCAAGAAGTCATCTCAGCTTGGATGACTGTCTAAGACCAGGGCACTCACAGAAAGGCCTGTGGGGTTGGGTGGAGAGCACATCACAAGCTTGGGAAGCTTACGGCTAGGCAAGGGAATCTGTGACTCAGGGAATCAATACAGAAACTGAAAGAGGCTGCAGTGCACACAGGCTTAGGGTGGACGCCAGGGATCTATGAGGAAAGGCAAGTGGGGCTCAGCGTTCACTCACAGAAATGCTCACACTCAGAGCTACAGGCAGTGAAAACGAAGCAGTCATCGGACACATGCTGTGCATGTTCACTTCAGCATCACAAGCCTTTCTCCTGTCAGGAATTCCCTGACAGGGAACATCATTCCTTTTTTGAAAGTTTTAGGTTTGCTCTTTTTAGTTTTTTTATTAAGATTTTTCAAGTTATTTCTCTGTTCACTGCTTTCTGTTACTTTTATCTAATTTTACTATTTTTCTTTGACTTCTTATTAGGATCCTTTTTTTCTCATTTGCCTTTCTCCCTCATGTTCCTTTCCACTATTTTTCAAATTTCACTTTGCTGCTCCCCACTGCTTCTATCTGTACTATTGTTAATATTTACTACTCTTTTTTTTTTTTTTTTTTTTGTCTTTTTCGTTTTTATTGGTACCATGGATCGAACTCACGACTGCCTGCTTACAAGGCAGGCGCTTATGTGGCTGAGCTAAATCCCCAGCCCCAATATTTACTACTCTTTAGATATTTAGTTAACAATGCTGTTAATGCTGAATTCTTTTCTATTGCTAATGGTGGCATAGATGTTGTCTTTAGTACATATTTATTATATATCACTATTTGGATCATCTGCCTGTATTGAAATTATGTATTTTTTCCATATAGTTAAAGATGTACAGTGGTAGTGCCAACTGATTTTTATGACACTTCCATATCCAGACTGTTACTGACGTGTGTGTGTGTGTGTGTGTGCACACGTTTTGAGACGATGTCTTCCTATGCAAGTCAGCCTGGACTTCAACTCACTATGAAGCCAGTGATCATCCTGTCTCAGCCTTCTGATTGTTTAACTCTATAATTGTTGCTGAATTTTTGCTATTGCCAAGGAGGCACAGATGTGACTATGAATTGGTTTTCACTGTATAGCTAAATCTGGTTAATCTTTGTTTCATCAAATAATGTATTTCTGTGGGACTTTCGGGCAGATGGCAGAGTGATGCACAGCAGCATCAAATCAACCTCTCTAAGATTTCAAACCCAGACACTGGAAAGTAACAATTTGGGGAACAAAAGATGAGGCAAGAGCTGGGGATTTAGTTCAGTGGCATAAGCACTTGTCTGGTGTTATAGATTAAAAAAACTCAGAGGTCAACTTAACACCAGTGGAATTAAATCACCATGATGCTGAGCACAGAGGTTCCACCTGAGGAAAGTTGCCAGCATAGAGATGTGAAGAAGAGAGGTGTTGAGGCACTGTGGGTTCTCCTATGTGCTGCTGTTTGAGCTGTTGGTTCTCCTGAAGGAACTTGTCATGACTCGCGTCTCGAGTGTGAGTTCAAACATTGCCACTGGAGGAGCTTGGGACCTTGCTGGTGAGAGTGACTGTGGTGCACTTTGGGGGAGCTGTGGTCCTTACATCAAGCACTGCTTCCTGGCTCCACAGGGGAAAATGTGTGCTCTTTAATCTTCAGGGCAAACTCATCAGGCTGGCTTCCTGGCATGCACTCAAATGTGCTTACTGTTGATGTTCAGAACCTCAGTGTCACTGAGGATGGCTGTGGTGCTTTTTAGGAGACCTGGTTTTTATGTTGAGCATGACTTCTTGGCTCCGGCATAGAACCATCAACCTACCAGCACAGCTCTTTCACCCTGCTGGATTTTCTAGCTTCCATTGCTCACCTTTGGGCCTTCCCAGTGTGGATCCATAAAACAGACTGACATGAGTCCTTTGCATGGGCTCTAGCCCTCCAGATGGACTCATAAGAGACTCTGTCATGGGCTCTAGGTTTTCATCTGCACTCATGTAGAACACTGCTGTGGGATTCAGGCCCTTGGTTAAATATTCTGGGTCTTTAGTGTTGTGGATAGATTTCCTGCACTTTCTTGTGTTAACTGTACCATCATAAAATATTATAAATTCCATGTCCTGATTCTAATTGTTTTCCTCACAACCCCTGATTACAATACCTGGCAAGCACCAGGTTGTGAGTTTAATAATTGGTACCAATAAATAAATAAATAAAAGATGAGGTGAATACCCATGACCCAGGAAGTATCTGAAGGGAAAACTGGATCCACAGTGGAAGTGAAGTAACAGATTACAAAGCAGAAAAAGTAGGTAGCTAACTGCATTTTCTACCCAGCCTCTGCCTTACAACATGAGAGCTGGATCAAATCTACCAAGGTGGTGAGGGCTGAGGGTAGATGACTCCAGAGCCCTCCAAGGAGATACACATCAGGGAACAGGGATACATGCTAAAGCAGCTGGCCTTGGAGTGACCTCAGGCCAACAGCCCACCATGTCCCAAGAGATTGCTAGGCCAGATGCCATTTAGGGAAGGCCCACCTGAACTTGGGATGAGGAGTAGTTATGGGGTGACTTCATCTCAGGGCTCCCCATGTCAGAATCCCACAGTGAGTGGGTGAGATCAGAAAACTCATGAAAGAAATACAAGGGATGAACCACACCTTTGAACAAATGGGGTTAGTAGATACCTACTCAGTGTTCATTCAACCATAGAACACACGTTCCTCTTAACAACACGTGGGACTTTCTCTAAAATAGACCACCTGCTACCTCCCAGAATATGCTTAAAAAATGCAAGAGAATTTAAATGATCCCTAAAGACCAGAGCAGAAGGCAATACAATTGAGATTAAGAAAATGACAGAAAGAATCAATGCCTTGAAGAGTCAGTTCTTGAAAAATTAAATATAATAGACAAACCTTTAGCCAACTTCATAAAAAAAAAAAACAGAAAAGGAAACAGAAGAGTCAAATCCATACAATTAGGAATGAAAAGCGAAAAATCACAACAGATCTTGCAAAAATCTAAAAGATCATCAGTGCCTACATTGAGAATTGTTAATGAGATGCAAAATGCAGAAAAGACATGGACAGATTCATACATACACAATTATCCAAGCTGAATTAAGAAAATATACAAATTCTAAATAGCCCAATTTCACCCAATGAAATTTAATACTATTAATAATAATAGTAACAAAAACTACCAACAAAAAAATCCAGGTCTTGATGGATTCACTGCTGAATACTACAAGAAATTTAGAGCAAATCTAATGCTACTACCCCACACGCTTTTTAATGAAACTGAAAGGGAAGTATTCCCGGAAGCAAAAGTTACCCTGATACCCAAATCAGAAAAGGATCCAACCAAATCTGACAACTACAAGCAAATCTCCTTAATGAACATAGATACAAAAATCCTCAATAAGATACTGGCAAACAGAATGCATCAATTCATCAACCAGATTATACACTGTGTGCAAGTAGAATTCATCCCAGGATACAGGGATGATGCAATATTCAAGTCACATTAACAGAACCAGAGGCAAAAACCACATCAACATCTTGATGCAGAAAAACCATTTGGCAAAGCCTAACACCCATTTATGACAAAACCTTAAAGAAAACTGAAATAGAAAGTCTATTGGTTGAGATATAGCTCAGAAGCACAGCACCTGTCTGGCAAACATGAGGTCATGAGTTCAATTCCCAGTACAAAAAAAAAGTCAATTCAAATCTAATGGAAGAAGCCTTCTGTGACAAACCAATAGTCCACACCATACTAGATGTTCAAACACTGCAAGCTTTCACTCCAAAATCAGGAAAGACAAGGATGCCCGTTATCACAACACCTATTCAATATAGTTCTGTAAACATTAGCAAGATCAACTAGACAAGTCAAAGAAACAACAGGAATAAGGATAAGAAAGGAAGTTAAACGTCATCATTCATGGATGACATGATTCTTTACATAGAAGGCTCCCAACCTCCACCAAAAGACTTCTAGATTTAACAAATTCAAAACTGTATCTGGGTACAAAGTCAAAACTCAAAAATTAATGGTATGCTTGTATACGAATAACACTGATAAGAGGAAAATTAGGGGGAAACACCTTGCATGACAGCATCACAACAAATGAAATGCTTTATGATGGGTTCCACTTGTGCAAGACTCTGTCAGGCTCAGTACAATGCCTGTCCAACATGGTGCTGACCCCTAAAACAACAGTGCCTCTCACCATACTAACTCCTCCTCAAGTCTTCTGGTCCCAAAACAATACACCTTCTGCCTCCCTTTCATGCGCACGACAGGTCCTCCAATCCCCCTCCCAACACGGTCCCCTCAGGTATTCCATCCCTTTTGCCAAGATGTCCCGCAGTCCTCTGCCAGCTCGATGACCTATCCAACCACATAGTCTCCACTCTTGTCCCAATCCCATAAAAGTGACTCCTCAGCTTTGTTTCTTTTGAGATTCCTTGCAAACTCCAGCAGCCCACCTGTGCCAGCAAAAAAGGTTTTCTTTTATCTCTGTCTTTGTTTCTCAACTGCACCAAAAAACCTAATACTTTGGAATTGATCTAATTGAGGAAATCCCTGAGGCAATATCAATATTGTACAAAGGACCATATTTCCTAAACTATTTACAAAGATTTAATGCAATCCCAATCAAACTACCAGTAGTGTAATTTAAGTACTACGGAAAACAATCCTAAAATTCATTAGGAACCCATAGAGACCTAGAATAGCAGAGCAAATTATGGAAAACAGATACAAGGCAGGAGGCATCACAACCACCAACAGGAAATTATACTGCAAAACTATCATGATAAAAACATCATGGAACTGGAAAAAAAGAACAAAACAAATCCAAGGATCAATGGAACAGAATAGAACATATGCAAAAAACTCCAAACATACTCAGTAACCTACTTTTGACAAGAGGTAAATACTTTCCCTGGAAGATAGTCCCTTTGCTAAATAGTGCTGGAAAAACTAGTGTTCCATACACAGGAGATTAAACCTAGAACCATATCTCTCAACACACACCAAACTAAAATCAAAATATATCAAAATCTAAACAGTAAAACAGAAACAATCTACTGGAAGACAGAATAGTAAAACTTTTGAAAACATAGGTGTGGACAAAGGCTCTATGAACAAAACCTCAATTGCATGAGAAATATTACAAACAATCAACAACTCATATCACATTACATTAAAAAGCCTTTACATCACAAAAGAATCAGCAGAAACCAGGCATGCTGCCACACTCCTGTAATCTCAGCAGGTGGGAGGCTGAGGCAGGCAGGTCATTGCAAGTTCAAGAAAAGCCTTGGCTACAAAGTGAGCTCAAGGCCAATCTCAAGTGCATAGTAAGATCCTGTCTCAAAAAAAAAATCATCAAAATCATCAACAGAGTGAAGAGACAACTGTAAGAATGAGAAAAAAATTTCTACCAGTTACTTTTCAGACAAAATGACTATTTGGAACATACAAAGAACTTCAAAAAAATGGATTCTCTAAATTTCAAGATCCAATCAAAAAATGAGTATATGAAATGCACAGATACTTCTCAGATATAAACAGCAAATAAATATATTTTTAAAGATGTTCAACATTCTAGGCCATATAAGAAGTACAAATTAGGACAACACTGAGATTTGATCTGACATTAAGAAATCAACCAATAACAAGCGCTGGTGAGGCTACAGTGAAGAGGGGAAAGAACTCTTCTCCAGTGATGGACCTGGTACAACCAATACGGAATCAGTATGAAGATTCCTCAAAATCTTAGAACTGGAGGTTCCATTTATCCCAGCTATTCCCCATCTAAGTATCTTCCAAGACTTAAAGGCATGATATGACAACAATGCTATCCACATTCATGTTTAAAGCAGCATAAATTTTAATAGTTAAATCTTGCAAACAACCCAAGTGCCTATCAAAATACTCAAGCCCTTAGCCAATCTTTCTTTCTTTTTTTTTTTGGTACTGGGTATCAAACTCATGATGCCACACAAGGCAGACACTTATACCACTGAGCTAAATCCCCAGTCCCTTAGTCAATCATTAAAAAAAAAAAACCAACCAACCAAACAAACAAACAAACAAACAAAAAAACAAAAAAACCCCAGTAAGTCAGTGCAAATAGAAATGGAAAAGGTAAAATTACAATAGAGGTCTGGGGATTCAGCTCAGTGGTGCAAGTGCCTGGTAAGCACAAGGTCAGGAGTTCCACCACCGGTACCCAATAACAAACAAACAAGAATTACAATGCACACTACTGAAAAAGTTTATTAGCAACTTTAAAACATATACTCCAATAAATTGGAGCACTCAAAGACGTGGATAATTCCTAGATACATACAAATCACAAAAATTGAACCTAGAAGATACAAAAACCCTGAATAATTCAGTAACAAACAATAAAATCAAAGAAGTAACTTGATTATTTTTCTCTCATTGCTGGGACAAAATATCCAACACCAAAAATGAAGAAATGATTTATTTAGTTTACAGTCTTTGGAGGTTTCAATCCATAACCAGCTGTTGCAAGGCAGGGTGGCATGGCATTGAGGCAACCTTCAAGACAGCAGCCAAAGTGAAAAGCAAGTCTCTTTTCTTGCCTTATATTGTATTCAGGCTACTCTCCCAACCCCGAGGGCAGATGCAGCACTCACAAAATCGTTCTGCCCTTGCCTTGCACAGGATGAGGATATTTACAAAGTAAGAACCCTGCTCCTAGCTGAGTCTCTCAGTAAAACTTTTAAACTTCTCAAGTTGATACAATGTATCAATCACAACAGGCAGTAAAAGAAAACCTACAAATTAAGAAAAGCCCAATACTTGATGGATTCACTACTGAATTCTACAAAAATGTAAAGAAAATCTAATGTCAATATTCTGCAAAATCTTTAAAGAAACTGAAAAAAGGAGTACTATTAAAAAGATTACTAGAGGCTAGCATAACCCTGATTCCCAAACCAGACAGCAACCCAATTAAAAAAGAGAGCTCCAAGCATATCCCCTTAATCAACACAGACACAAAAATCATCTACAAGATACTTGCAAACAAAGTGTGACAAATCATCCAAAAGTCATACATTAGCTGCATATGATGTAATCTTAGCACTCAGGAGCCTGAGACATGAGGATTGCCATGATTTTGATGCCAGGCTGGGCTACAAACTGAATTCACATTCAGCCTTAACTCACTGCATAGCAAGACCCTGTATCAAAACAAAATAAAACAAAGAAAGGAAAAAAGAGAGAAAAATTAAATATTTAGGAATTAAGCAACCCAGAAAGTAAAAGACCTCTACAATAATATAGTACTCTGAAAAATGTTGACGATGACATCAGAGAATGCAAAGATATTCCCTGTACTTTGATAGAAGGACCAATATTGTCAAAACAGATAGACTTTCAAGACTGATATACAGATTTAATGTAGTACCAAAAAAATGCAAACTGTGGTCCTCAAAGAACTAAAGAAAACAATTTGAAAATTCATATGGAACCAGAAGACATCAAGAATAGCAAAAACCCATGTATGTCAAGAGCAAAGCCAGAGGCATTGGATCCTGGATTCCAAGCTACACTATATAGATACCAGGATGAAGAAAAAGACATGGTGCTGGCACAAAACCAGCATGTGAGTCAGTGCAGGGCAACAGAGGCTATGAAACAATCCCAGGCATACTTAGCCATCAGATCTTTGACAAAAGTCATAAAAGTCCATACACTAGAGTTTGCATAGCCTCTTTAACAACAATGCTAGGAAAACTGGCTATAAACAGGATCAAAAACACACACTGGGTGTAATACAGCACTTTCAACATATGATGCTAGAAAAATTGGCTGTATACATACAGAAAACTGAATTCAGAAATATATCTCTCTCCATGCACTAACAGAGGAGCCAAAATGAAGCTAAGAGCTAAATGTTAAAATATAAACTATCGACTAGAAAGTTAAAACAGGTGAAACTCTTGGAGACATAATGCATAGGCAAGCACATTCCAAACAAAATTATGACTGCACAAGAAATAACACCAGCAATCAACAAATGCAATTATATCAAATTGAAAATTTTCTGCACAGGAAACAACTAACAGGAAAGAAAAAAATCTATGGAGTGTGGAAGAGAATTTGGACAGACAAGTATCTAAAATATTTAAAGAACTAACATAAAATTAGAATCTCACTCAGTAAAAGATCCAGTCACAAAATATGCAACTTTTGCAAAATAAGTACATATGGTTCAAACTCACTTCTCTGGCCAATAGAGAAATGGACATTGAAAGAACACTGAGATTCCAGTGGCTGTCATATTAGTGGAGAAAAATGAAACCCTTCTACATTGCTGATGGAGATTCAAACTAGTATAGGCACAATGCAAATCAGTATGGCACTGTCTCAGAAAACACTAACAATACTCATTCCATCTGAGCCAGCTATTTTCACGTTAGATATCTTCCCCAAAGAGTTAAAGACATTGTGTAACCATAAAATATACACACACATGCTTACTGCAACACAAATAATAATGGCTAAAACATGGATGTGGCCTATATGTCCATCAACAGATGAAACCCAAAGAAAATGTGGTTATTTATGCTCAGTAGAGTACTACTGTTATAAAAATGGGTCGTGTGAATCATTTGTAGGAGAAAATCCATCCAGCTTAAACCATATTAACATAATCACACTCACAAGCTGAGATACGGCACAGTGTCTCATGAATGAGCAAGCCAAAGTACAGAGAAACTGAAGAACAGAATAAAAGGAAAACAGGGAGGCGGATCTTCTGCAGAAGGGCAGGGGACCAGAGATGCAGGATGAAGGCAGAGTGGGACGGGGATGGATGAAGAAAGAGGAGCTATGAGCATGGACGCACTCCCCACATAAGTGCAACTGTTGTGGGCTGCAGTCATGTCCTAACACAGTATTTTTCAATGTTCAGGAAAAGCACCTATTTTTTTGGTACCAGGGATCAAACTCATGACCTTGTGCTTACCAGGCAGGCACTTGTGTCATTGAGCTAAACCCATGGCCCTACAAAATTTTTTAAACTAAAAGTAAAGGACTTAAACTATCTATTTTTCTTTGCATATTCAATCAATCACCTATCATGCTGGAAATTTTTTCTTAAAATGAGGTGTTGGAATGACAGGGACCCTGCGCCTCTCACTGTTGCTGGAGGGACAACATTCAAGGCCAGCTTCCTAGCAGGTGGTCTGGCCACATACATGAGGATAACAAAACTTTGTTTTGTGAACATCTGGATTACAAGAAAAACAAAAGCTTGTCACTGTGCACAGCCTGTCCCCTCTTTTCTTTCTGTCTTTTTTTTGGGGGGAGGGTACTAGGGATTGAACTCAAGACACTGCACTCACCAAGCAGATACTTATGATGCTGGGCTGAACCCCAGCACTTTTTCTCCATCCTCCTTTCCAGCCCCTCATCCTGTACTCACAAGCAGCCACTTGTGCTAGATTGGGCCCGTTTTATCCAAATAACCAGACTGCTTAATCTTATCTGAGTGTCATCTGACTCTCAAAACACCCCAGAGAGAAGCAGGATTACTTTGGTCTCTGCTCCTGTCTGAGTCAATGTGGGCAGAGCTCTCCAGGGTCAAATTCCTCAGTAAATTAGGGCAGGGAAGCAACCAAAAGCCACTCACTTTAGAGTGAGCAATAAATTTCAAAATGTCTTGTTTTTTTGAGTCAGGATCTCACAACGTACCCCAGCCTAATCTAGAAATTGCCATGTCACACAGGCTGTGCCTGAGCTTGTGTTCACCTGTCTCAGCCTGCAGTGTGCTAGGATGACAACTATGCATTTCACACTGGTTGACAACATAGTTCTTTAAATAAAATATGCAAGATTCATGATCTAAGATACTGAACATACCTAGGTGACTGCCTTTAAGTAACCTTAAAAACCAGAGATTAAAAAGTGTCAGTGAAGACCAAGGAAATGGGATCCTCACACTTTGTTGCTGAGAATGTAAAACTGCAGAGTCACTTTGGAAACCACACTGGCAGATCTTCAATGTTAAACCGTCACCACATGGCCCCGAAATTCTACCTTACGTTTATATCCAAACTGAAGACATATTCTCTACACAAAACCTGAATATGAATTTGAGCCTATTATCAGCAGCATTACTGACAACAGTCCCAAAGTGGAAACAACCCAAACAAATCTTCAGTGATTCATAAAATGTTTCATTAAAAACGCTGTACCACCATGAGAAGGGGTGCAGTGTTACTACGTGTCATAGCGTGAGCCTAGAGTCCCAGCCATTTGGGAAGCTGAGGAAGGGGCTGATGTAAGGCAGGACTCTATCTCAAAATAAAATTTAAACAGGGCTGTGATGGATTAAAAACTAGTGGTCAACTTCACACCAGCTGAATTAAATCAGCGTGGTGCTGAGAGTAGACGGCCACCTGAGGAAAGTAGCCGGCATAAAAGGAGATGTGGAGCTAAGAGTACAGCACTGAGTTCTCCTGTGCTGCTGTTTGGAGCTATTGTTCTCCTGGAGGAGTCTGTCATGAAGGCCTACCCATATGAATCCAGCCACCGTCATCAGAGGAGCTTGGGACCTTGTCACTGAGTGGCTGCGGTTCACTTTGGGGGAGCTCTTACATCACTGCGCATCACTGCCTGGCTCCAGAGGGGAAGATGTGTGTTTAATTTCCAGGAGAAATTTGCATGCTGGCTTTCTGATATGAACTCGACTGTTCTCATCATCAGAGGACCTAAGGACCTCATTGTCACTGAGGAGAACTGGGGTGCTTCTGGGGAGCCCTAGTCTTTGTTTTGAGCGTTGCTTCTTAACTCTTGTGTAGAACCCTCAGCTTAATGGCACAGATCCTTCACAGCACTGGCATACTTTCTGGCTTCCAGTGCTGACCATGGGAGCTTCCTGGTACAGATCCACAAAACAGACTTACATGAGACATTGTCATGGGCTCTAGGTCTTCAGCTGGACACATTCAGGATATTGCCATGGGATTCAGGCTTCTTGGCTGGATTTTCTAGGCCTTTAGTGTTTTGAACAGATTCCTTGCCCTTTCTTGTATTTAATTATATAATAATATAATAATATTATATATTATAATATAAATATATTATATTATAATATAAATAATATATTATAAATATATTATATAATATTAATATAATAAATATATTATAATATAAATAATATAAATTCTGTGTCCTGTATGTAATTGTTCTCCTTGTAATCCCTGACTACAAGGACTGAGGGCCAGGTTGGTGATACATGCTTATAATCCCAGTAATGAGGGAGGCCAAAGCAAGAAGATCACTGGTTCCAGGTCTACCAGAGAAATTTAGCAAGGCCATGTCTCAAAAAAGAAAAGGGAAAAATACTGGGATACTATTTAGTAGTCGAGTGTCCTTGGATTCAATCCCTAGTATTGTCAAAAATATTTTTGGAGCCAGTTGTGGTGGCACATGCCAGTAATACCAGCATATAGGAGGCTGAGGCAGGAGGATCACTGCAAGTTTGAGACCAGCCTGGACTACAAAGTGAACTCAAGGTCAGCCTGAATTGCAGAATGAGACCCTTTCTCAAAAAGAAAAAACAACTTTTTTTCTAAAGAAGGAATGTAGTACTTACTCATGACCTGAGACAGATGAATCTTGAGAAGAGTTTACCATTGAAGAAGCCAGGCACAAAAGACCTATTCTACGAGCCATTGATATGAAATGTTTAGTGATTGAATCCATAGAGACACAAAGTAAAGTAACAGCTTCTAAGAGGTATAGGTTAGGAGAGGCTGGCATTTCTTCCAGTGTAAAAAAAATGCTTTGCAATGCTCAAGGTCATGATGTACAGTTCAGTAACCATATTAAAAAGAAATGGTCAAAATTATACTATAAATGTACTGTGATTATAGAGCATGGTACTGACTCAAGATTAGTGGAACAGATTAGAAGAAACCAAAAAACTCCAGAGAGACTAAGCCAACTTATCATTTAGAAATGGACCAAACTCATTCACTGGAAGACACCCTCTAATAAAATAAAAGGTGCTGGAAAAACTGGCTCTGCATATGTTGAAGATTAAAAATGGACCTATGTCTTTCACCGTGCACTAAGCTAAAATCAGAGTAGATCAAAGATCTTAATATTAACACAGAAACATTAAATTTGCTGGAAGACAAAGTAAGTAAAAGCCTTAAATGCAGTGGTGTAGGTAGACTTTATGAACAAAACATCAATTGCACAGGAACTACCACGAAGAATCAACAACTGGGATCTCATCCTATTAAAAAGCTTTTGCACAGAAGGAGAAACCACAAACAGAGTGAAGAGATTTTCTCCCATGATATGGGAGAAAATGCTTGCCAGGTATAGCTCAGACAAAGGATTACCACTGAGAACATAGAAAGAACCAAAAAAAAAAAAAAAAAAAAAATCAGTCCTTTCATATCTAAAAACCCAATCCAAGAATAGGGATCTGAGACGAATACACAGTTCTCAGATGAAGAAATATAAACAGCAAATAAATATGTGATGAAATGTTTAATATCACTAGTCATTTCAGACATGTCAATTAAAAAAACACCGTGATCCCACCTCACCCCAGAAATAATGGCTATTATCAAGAAATCAAACAATAACAAATGCTAGAGGGGTGTTGGGGAAAAAGGAACCCTTCTTCACTGTTGGTGGGAATGCAGACTGGTGCAACCACTGTGGAAATCAGTGAGGAGAATCCTCAAAAAATAAGGACTACTGGTCCAATTCGACCCAGCTATTCCCCTTGGGTATCTTCCCGAAAGAATTAAAAACATTGTATCATATTGATGTATGTGCACCCATGTTTAGAGCAGCACAATTTGTAAGAGCCAGAACTTGGACACAATCTAAAGCTCACTGATTGAGGAATGGATAAAAAGAGATGTGGTGCATTTATACACTGAGTACTGCTCAGACATAAAGAAGGGTAAACTGGTGCTTTTTAAAGGTAAATGGATGTAATTTGAGGCCCCACTCCTAAGTAAAATAAATTAAGATACACATATGTAAACACTGCATTGTCTTACTAGTGTGAGCTGAAAAAACAACATCTATATATATGTGTGTGTGTGTGTGTGTGTGTGTGTGTGTATAGTTAAAATACTTATAGTACTGATTTCTCTGAGTGCATTAAATAGAAAGATCTGTGCTGGCAGTTTGGACAATTGAACGTAGCTGTCTTGTGCTCTAGGTGAATGAATTGGGGATCACAATGCACAATATATGTCCATTGTTCCCGTGATTGGTGCATTTTTAATTTTTTTCTCTTCAAAATAAAATGGATTCAGACTGTGGCCTTTCCAAGGGGAGAACCACCAGCAGCTCCTGAGATCCGCGCCATGTTGGAACTTAGGACACCGGGAAGCCAACCAAGCACCTCCCCTCCCTGGTAAGCAGTGGCAGTATGGCAAACTGTGGCCCTTCCAGGGGGAGAACCACCAGCAGCTCCTGAGATCCGCACCATGTTGGAACTTAGGACACTGGGAAGCCAAGCAAGCACTTCCCCTCCCTGGTAAGCAGTGGCGGTGTGGCAGACTGTGGCCCTTCCAGGGGGAGAACCACCAGCAGCTCCTGAGATCCCCACCATGTTGGAACTTAGGATGCTGGGAAGCCAAGCATGCACCTCCCCTCCCTGATAAGCAGTGGCAGTGTGGGAGACTGTGGCCCTTCCAGGGGGAGAACCACCAGCAGCTCCTGAGATCCATACCATGTTGGAACTTACGACAATGGGAAACCAAACAACCAGCCTGCCTCCCTGCTAAGCAATAGTAACCCTACTGATGCACGGCCTAAAGTCAAACATCCTACTTCCCCTACCTCCCTTTACCTGTCCGCGCCCCCCCACCCCGTTAGCAAATGGGAACCACAAATCTGAGTATCTTCTGGGAGGTTGACCATAGCAAATAAGGGGGACTTCCCTCTACCATCGCTTTGAAGGCAAATATTTTTATTACTGTTTTGCTCTATTCTGATTCATGGTACTGCTCTATTCAATATTGTTTTGATAAATTCTACAATGTCCTGTATTTCATCTCATGTTGATATACGTGACTGAAAGAACAACTATTATAAAGATAATGAAATATACTGTGATACTTATTACTGTTATCCTGGTAACCTGCTGTGAAGTTCTTTACTAATTTCACTATATGATCTTAGTTGGCTTTATTCTGTCTTGTTCTGTTGTATTTTATCACTTTCAAAATAAAATTAAAAAAAAAATTTATTGAAAAAAATAAAATGGGTTAAAAATAAATAAAGTGAATTTTAAAAAAAGTAACCAGTGCATTATTTTCGAATGGAAAATGTTGAACATGTTACGCTGCATGAATTATCTCCCATTCCCAAAATGATTTCACTTCAGAAACAAAAAGCCATTTCAGACAGGGGCTTACACTTTATCAGAACCTGAACATGTCTGCCACTCCCCCAGCCTGTATTCATGGTGGAGAACTGAATCCTCCCCTTACTTAATCATAGCCTTGCAGTGAAGGAAGGTTCCTAACCCAATCCTAGTCCCTAGTGCAGAGCATGCAACATTTCCAGTCGCTGTGTTGCTAATTTCCAGGGATGATGACCCAGTGAGAGGCCTGGATCAGTCTCTGGCCAGGTGCATGCTGAGCTGCTAGCAGCAAGGCTCACACAAGCGGGACACACAGGTCAGACCCATGCCGGTGCAGAGCTGCTACAGGACGGCAGCTGGCAACTCATGTCTCCCCACCTCTGGCCTCTCTTTTATGGATGGAAACCCTGATGTTCACAAGTGGATTATACAACCTGGAAAACAGGAAATACAAGCCTTTATCTGCTGAATGCAAACCATCCTGCCCTTGATTCACAAACATGCAATTCATTCACTCAGCATCTGGTAGGACAGTACAGAAAACATTAATTTCCTATATTTTTTGAGTTCATACAATGGTTAGGGAGATAAACTATAAACAAGATGATATAATATTGTGTTCAATTTTACAAATGAAATACAAGGTGGCCTAACAGTGAGAGACAAGATGTCGGTGATTTAGCACCATGGCATAAGTGCCTGCCTGGCAACCACAAGGCTGTGAGTTCGATTCCCAGTACCCAAAAATAAACAAACAAACAAACAAATAAATAAATAAATAAAAGTAGTGAGAGACACAGGCTGGAAGAGGCAGAGAATATTTTTATTAAGGGCTGTCAGACTTTTAAAGGCAACACAATAGAAATGATTAGAGACAGGGATCAAGCTAGACAGCACAGCATTTCCTACAGTAGAGGGGGCTATGGCATGGAAATGCACACTCTCCTGAGAGCAGGGCGCCTAAATACAACGAGCACACAGCAGTGGCCATGGACGTGCCAAAGGCAGCAGGTAGCAACACTGAGGACCCTGTGCTCAACTGAACCGAACAAACCAGGGACAAAAGGAGGTGTGGGTGTGCAGAAGAGGGAATAAGAGAAAGATTTCAGGCAGGAATCCCAGGGTGGCCTGTCACAGGAGTTAACTAGGACATCTGCTGTGCTATCCTTTCTGGTGGCTGCTACTGCCCTCACCAACAAGGCTGAAATCTTCATCAAGTGCACTGCCCCTGAATTCACTACAGCTCAACACACTGAGAGGTGTACTTTCTGTCTGTGGAATAGCCATTTTCAAAGCACTCCCCTTTATTACCATGGTGTCTGTTGTATCCTCAATATGCTTTTACTAAAATGTTTAACGAAACCCAAAACAATTAAATATCATTCTATCTTGAAATTTGGAAGAAGCAACACAGGTTCATTCAGCCAGTCTGAAGCCACCCCCACCAAACTTACAGCTGAAGCCTTCAAGGCTCATCTTCAGGCTTCCATCAGTGACTCTACCCAAGTTTGTACATTTCTGTGTCTGCCTTTGACTGGGTTGTCAGAATCCAATTCCTCAGTCTTTGCAAACAGCACTCCAGGTCAGTCTGCCATTGGTGATCCAGACCTGAGGAAAGCAAGCAGAAGGACTTTGGAGATGCCTCTCACCTCTAATGCTGTTGGCAATTTCCAGGTGCTCCTGCTATTTCAGAACAAGCATGCAAAGAGCTTTACTCTGCAGGAAATAAGCCACGTAAACACACGACAGCAACTCCCCCTAGTCTTCAGGGGCAATGACCTTCCTGGGAGACAGATGAGTGGGGCAACAGCACTGAGCTCAGCCTGTATCATAGCACAATGGGTTCTTCAAGAAACCAGGGATCTCATCTTTTGACGAGCTATCACTTACCTAAACCACATTATGTGCTGTTGTGTACATCCACATGGTATTTGTTGTATATATTTGTACTGTCTCTTTTTTTATTTATTTGTTTATGCAGCACTAGGGATCAATCCCAGGGCCTTGTGCCTGGTAGGCAATCAATCATTCTACAATTGACCTACACGCTGAGCCCTGTATTTATATTGTCACTGAATGAAGAATTGAAAAGGGATAAATAAAGGGACTGTTTCACAAAATGTAAAGTGTGAGATTTCTTTAGATCTTGATTCAAGCAAAATCATCAAGGAAGATATAATAATGAAACTCAAATGCCAACTGTCAGTTTTTCATATGTAGTACTCTCATAGTACTTTCATTGATTTTTCAGAATAACCTTTTTCTCTACAGACACAAGTTGACTGTCATCGTGCAGGCCCAAGGCGGTGATGGCTAGGAGTAACTGCTAATGCTGCTCCCAGGCAGGGATAGACACAAACACACAGAACAGCCAGCAGGGGCAGCTGCAGCTCCAGTAGCATGGGGACTGGAGACCCAGAAAGCCTTGGCGCAGACCTGGGCCTGCCACTGCCACTGAAGACAGAAACACAGGACTTGAGCAAGCCACTTGGCCCACTAAACCTGTTTTTTTTTCTATGAAAAAGGAGTAGCATCCACCCAGTGGGAGCTCACAAGATGCCATACAGACCCTTTAAAGTCCTGGAACATAGAAAGTGGTCAAGCACCAATAGTGAAGGTGGTGACCCAGAGCTGAGGAGGCAAAGCAGAAGGGACTATAGCTCAGAGCCACTTAGGCACAGCACTTATGCTCTTCATGGAGCCCAGCTCTGGCCTGGATGGGAGCAGAATTGACCCTGCTGGAGGGTCAGAACTCTGTGACTGGGGCAGAATACTGGGAATGCTTATTAATAATAATAATTATAAGGGGGACCTAAATAGAGACGCTTATGGAACTTCCATCAGAAATTGGCAAACTCTATGATTAGACAGATTTAGCCAGCTTTCTGAACTACCAGATGTATCCCTCACTTGAACTCTGGCACTGAAACACGAAAGCAGATGTGAGCCATCAATAAAAACCTGGAATTCTAATAAAGCCCTATTTCAAAAACCAGGTGGCAGGTTGATTTGATCCATTCATGCAACAACACTGGGCAAAAAAGTGATTGTGAAAACAAGGATTACATGGACTTCTGGGAGAACATGCCGGATAGATAGCAGCAGCTATGGAGGCTCTCTGAGATACCCTACTTAAAATCCAGGAATGGTGAGGTACGAGGAGTCCTAAGCAAGGGTAGATACACCCTGCCGACCCAGGAATGAACTAAGCTAAGAGAAACTAACTGGAAATCCAATCCTGGTGCTATAACAGGAACAGATAAAATCTCAGCGCGGAAGCTAGAACCCACGCCACTGGAAGCCGTGATTTGAATTTCCTGCTGCTGCTGCTGCATCCAAATCTGCAGGGCAGGGAGAGAGATGTGCGAAAGCTCTGAGAGCAGGAATCTGCAAACGGAGTTGAGAGCGGGACTAGCAGGGAGCCCTACATCGACTTGTGGTGAGTGAACGGAACGAGGACCCTTTCATAGAGTAGGAGGCTCCAGCAAAGGACACACTGGGACCTGGCAGACTTGGTGGAACTGTACCCTGTAGTGACATTAGTTGCATATTCCCCTCGCAAGCAGGTTTGGTGGGGAGTGCCTGGCCTGCATGACACGGCTAAGACCCAGTAGGATAGCCTAAGCCAGGTCCCAGCACCTGGAGATGCACCCTAGCGGTGAAGCATTCGGTAGGTTGACCTGGTGGGACAGGCCTAGCAGAGGCTGCCCAGGTCTGTGTCTCCCTAGAACACTGCAGTGGGTGGGAACACCTAACAGGTGCAATTCAAACAAACTGTAACCAAAAAAGAGAAAAAAATTGGGCCTCCTACATTCGCTTGTATGGAAGGAACAAAAAGTATGGGAAGAGAAAGCAACAAGAAAGGATCCTCAGTCCCCAATCCTGAGAACACTGATCCAGGAAAGGGAAACGCAAAGGAAGACAGAAAACATGCAATATCAGACATGGCACCAATAGACATAAAGTGCTATCTCCAGAGTCTCATAGACGAGTTTAAAAATGAAGTATTTAATGAAATAAAGCAAGATATAAGTAGAATAGTTAGAGAAATGCTAAACACCGTACAAGAAAAAACAGATGGTGTAATGGAAGAACAGAAAAAAAGGGGAGAATTATTTGATGGCGAAAACAGAGAAAACATAGAATACTGAAAGCAGGTTCAAAGAGATTACCAGGAAACTAAAAACTCTATCGAAAGCTGGCATAACAACTTGAAAGAAACTAAGAATAGATTATCTGAATTGGAGGGCAGATTTGTAATATGGGAGCATGAAATGAAAAACTTATTAAAAATAACAAGAAAACAAACAGCAATACAAAGGCTAGAAGATGATAAGAGGATCTATAACTTAAGAATTAAGAACATAAAAGAAGAAGTAGGGACACAAACAAATGAACTACAAAAGCTATTCACAGAAATAATCCAAGAGAATTGCCTTAATTTAGCAAAAGATAATGATACTTAGATGTATGAGGCATACAGGACCCCAGCCATCTACAACCCAAACAGAGCTACAACCAGGCTTATAATAATCAAAATTCTAGAAATCCAATATGAGAACAGAATACTAAAAGCCGTCAGAGACAAGAAACAGATCACTTACAAGGGAACACCCATCAGAATTACAGCAGACTTCTCGGTACAAACCATCAAATCATGAAGAGCATGGGGGGAAATAATTCAAGCTTTGAAAGATAACAACCTCCAGCCAAGATTGATATATCCTGCACAACTGTCCCTAGAAATTGATGGAAAAACAAGGTGCTTCCAGGATAAAGAGGAACTAGGGGAGTTTGCAACCACCAATTCAACTCTACAGGGAATACTGCAGGATAGTCTAAAAAAGGAAAATACCAAAATACCAGTGGCAGAGAGGCCACAATGAATGGAGCAGAAAGTGAAATGAAGAAGACAAACTGACAACTAATGACAGAAAAAGAGCTCAACAGAAATGAGGCAGAGAAGATTGGATGGTAGGAACAGCTATTTTGGAGAAAACAAGACATCATAATAGCTAGTGCTGATTTAGTATCATCTTGCTTTGAAGTCCCATCAAGCTTTTATTCTTCTGTCTCCATCGGTTTTAACAGGTTTTATCTTATTGGATTTTATTATATGTGATAATATAAGCAAAAACTTTTGTAGACAAGGAGATTACACAGAAACCATTGTTCATTTTCTGATAGTTGGTTCTAAATATCCTGTAATACTGTCATTCTCTTGAATGGTTTTACATTGTCTTGATATGTTTGGTGCTACAGTATACGAAGGTATACTCAAAGATTTCAAGAAAGAGACACTATGGTAACTACTTTTATGTCAGGATATCTTGTGGTGAAACACTATTTTGCTTAAATGGTTATGCTTTGACCTACCCTGTTTTGTTGTTATGCCCTCTTTTATGTCAATCTCCTTTTTTAAAATTATTTACTTTTTTATTTTTATCTTTTTAATTAAGGGAAAAATAAAAAAAGCAGGACACATTATAGTAACCCACTTTGATTTCCTATTAACTTGATTTGAAACTCTGTATTGCTCTCACCATCTTGCTTTGACTGATTTTCCTCTATTCTGCTTTGCTTGATAGTACCAAGTTCAAAAGTATAGGCAAAACTGTGAAGACAATAAGATTCATTATGATGCCCATTCTGGTTTACCATTATCTTCTTTTAAAGTCCTGTAATGTCTCCAATGACTTGATTTTATTCTTTCTGTTTTGTTCAATTTTATTATAACTGATAATATAGGCAATTCTTTTTAAGATAGCAAGAGGCAGTATGGTAACCATTGTTGATTACCTGGTATTTTGTTTTTACATTATGTATTATGTCCATCCTTTTGATTTGACTGACTCTGTTCTGTTATGTCACATTTGGTTTTACTCTCTTCAAAAAGAAGTAATAAGAACTGTGGGAGTAATAAAACCCGAAATATGTAATTGTCATTGTACAAAAGAAAGGAAAAGAAAGTGCTCTAAAGAATATAACTGCATATATATTTAAGTGTATAAGATACACTTAATAGATAATCAATCATATTAGATATGATAGATAGATAATCATATTACTGAGTTTTGTTGGATCATTGAACAAAACTGTTTCCAGTCTCACTGTTTGAAAGTCCACTTTATATGCTTTAATTTTGTAACTTGAACAACTATTTCTAAGATAACAATATGTAATCTATTAACTAGTGATTTCCTACTGTTTTTTCTGAAATTCTGCATAACTTGTACCCTTTTTTTGTTTTTTTTCTTTTTCTCCTTAAATTAAAAAAAAAAAAACAAGGATTAAGCTAACAGAAGACAAACAAGAAAGAAAAAGATAACACAGCAGAGTGTACCAATAAATAGCTACACGATAGGCTTAAGTCAAACTTGAATCAATAAGCAGATTAAAACCATATTACTAATTGAAAAGCAGAGATTATCACAATGGATGAAAAAAAAAAATCCCTGCAACACGAAATGCTTTATGTAATACTCTTACCTTAAACCCTTTATTTGAAATGGTTTTAATGTTAGGCAATGCTACAATGCTGTAAATCCTTCACCTGGCTTCTAACAGTACCTATGACCACAAATAAAACACAAAGAACTCAAAGTGAGACACCCATATTTACACAGTATTACTATATAAAAGAATTCATGAGAGTTTCATCCGTTGGCCCATCAATGACCTCTTCCTATTCCAGAACCAACCTGGGACCCCACATACCTTTACTTGTGAGGTTCCCTAAACCTCCCCCAAGCGCTAACTCTTCTTTCCTCATCTTTGGATAGAGCATCCTGTCGGTCTGTTTGCTTTCTTTAGAACTGTGATGGATGGGCCACAGGACCTCTGTGACCTGATGAAGGAGTACTGGGTGATAATGCTCAAGTGTGCGGCCCAGAGAGCAAGGGTTGCGGGGCTCTGGTGTTACCTTCTCTACGTGGCTTGGGATGAGCTCTTCGGCGGAAGCCTGGAGGGCATCGGCTCGCTGAAAAGTCCACTGCAGCGTAACATGCTTGTGTCAGCACCATCTCGAAGGAAAAGAACTCAAAACCACCTGGAAATCTGTTTTGTGCACACAGCAAATGTACTTGTTTAGCCTTCCTTTGTGGGTCTTCCACGTGGTACCTGCCTGCACCGTCTGATGACGTCACTGTCCGCGCCGTCGCGACGCAACAGCTCCAGTGCGCCTGCGCAGCGCCAGTTTCCTCCGGGCTTAGCGGGTGGGACCACTGCTGTCTTCCCAGATTTAGGCTCTGGGTGGCGCCAGCCTCTCACACATTTCTTGTTGAAACCCAAATGAGTAGATAGGAAAAATGTGGCACAGATACACAGTTCCAGATGTGGCTCTTGTGGCAGAAGCCTGGGATCCCAGCCACTGCGGTGTCTGAAGCAGGAGGAGAGTATGCTTGAGGCTGGGCTGGACTATATAATGAGACACTCTGAAAACATAAACAAAGCCAGCACATACACACACCTGAACAAAAACATGCTGCAGTGGAAGCAGGTGTGGGGTGTGGGGGAGCGCCGGGGGTTCAGCACTTACCTAGCATAATAAGCAAGGCTTTGCTTTTCATCTTCAGTGCTACAAAAACACAAACGAAAGAACTAGCAAAAGGCAGTAAGATTTACCGCAGTGGACTGCAAATCTGTCTCCATATTCAGTACTTTGTCATTTCTAACTTGAGTGCTTCTGAGGATGTCCTAGAGTGTATGTACATCAGAAAAAAGAAGTGTAGGAAACTCTCCCCTCTCCATGAGTTTCTGCATGGTGTACATGCAGCTGAATAAGCCTGGACATTTAGCACAGAGAATGACTCTTCTTAATTCCTAAAATTTGGATTTATTTGAATTCACGTTTGTTTCAAGGTGCAATATATGGAAAGAGTAATTAAGTTAAATTCATTTGTAAAGCACTTTTTTTTGCAAAAAATTTTACTTTGTAGGCTTTTCTCTTTTTCTAAACACTCAGTATTCTCTTAGCAGCCAGGTTATCCTGTGTGAGCTACTGGCAGCCTTTTCAGGATCAGCCCACCCAAGGCACACAACCATGTTCTCATGCTACCTGCACAGAGGTGTCAGACACCTGGATTTCAATCTTAGGATGGAGGGAAGCACAAAGAGAAAATACCACAAGTTTGCAGAGGACAACATTAGGTTACACAAGTGAATTAAGGGTGATACCTAGTGGTTTCATATTTTCACAGACAACACCAAATGTTAGAAGAGAAATGACGAAAGCAATAAAAATTCAGTAGTTTTCTGGAAAACTGATTTTCAATTTAAGATCCACACTTACCCAAATTGTCTACCCAACTGAACAAAAGGCACTTTCCTGCACAAAGAGGTTTCATGATTCCCTATCTTGTGTGTTTCATGTCTCAGGAAACATTGAAGTCTATGTTCTACTGAAGCCAAAAGTGCACTAGAGAGAAGAAGCACCACCAAGAGTAGGTCCAACACACAAAGAGGGCAAGAAAACCCAAGGACAATTCCTGCTTCCCAGTCATAGAGAACAAGCAGGTGAAATCTGAAAGATTCAAAAATTGTCTGTGAGTGTATTAGTCAGAGTTAACTAGAAAAACAGATATAACACGATAAAAAACTGTACAAGAAATTAGAAGAATGACTTACAATGATCAGCCACAAAGTTGAATAAGGAAGCATGCAGAAGATGTCTGCACAGCAGAACTTTAAGGGTCTAGCCCATGGGCTGGAGCTTACTGCAGTGTCCCAGGCAAGTCTGTATCATAAGGCTGATACATCTATGATGGAGCACTGAAGAATCAATGAAGGAGGCTGAAGAGTCTGTGATGGAGGCTGAAGAGTCTATAGTTGAGGCTGAAGAGTCTATGATGGAGGCTGAAGAGTCTATGGCAAGGCTGGAGAGTTCCAGGCTGAGCCAAACAGAAGCCAGGAGATGATGATGTCTGAGCTGAAAAATGAAGACTGGAGCTCCTCTGAAGAAGCAGCAATCAGTCTTTCCTCATTTGCCTATTTTATGTATGCAGGATGGCCCCTGCTGAATCATGTAATTAAAGTTCCAACCTTTTCAAATGCTGAAACACTTGGTGAAGCCTCTAGACTTCTCAAGTTGACATAGTGTATAAACCATAACAGTGAGGAAGGTGGAGCACAATGTATCTGCAGTCACCCACAAATGTTATTGGATCATATGTTTCATCAGTGACCATCAGGGCCTTCAAAGTGCTAATGATCAGCTGAGACCAAACACTGGGGCCATAAGTTATGACTACACATTTGACAGGAATGTCGATGCTGAAGCTGAATATTTTGTTTTTCCCTGATCTTCATAGGCCACATAGACAACAAAATGCAAACCTAGATTGCTTCATTTTTTCTGAGAAGCACAGTCCCTGCTCCTTCTGAGAGAAGAATAAAGGGCCCCACTCAGACGTATCCTTGACTTGTCCAGAGCACCGAGTGTCCAGTGTGTGTACATAGCATGGATGTCAAAGTATTGAGTCTGTAGAAACTGGAAACATAGTCACTGTGAGGACTTAGCTCAACTGTCACCTGCTAGTGAAGGTTTCCTTGGCTAGGACACCTGTAATGACAGCCACTCCCACCCCAGTTCGCCCTCAGCCTTATCCACCTCAGTGCACTCATGGGTCCAGTTCCTGTCTGCAGTTGTCAGTTTCTGCTGTGGCTCCCACCTCTCCTAGAGGAAACATCCTCAACCCGGCCCCAAATCCTGTGAGATCTGGCTGGGGCACTTGCCACCTCAGTCTTCCCATGAACTCCACCCTGAGCACAGTGCTGAGGGCTCCACTTCCCCTGCTGTTTCACCTCTGGCCACAAACTGACCTGTCCTCTTCCCACAACAGATAGGGAAAGGCTGTCAATTACACATGGGAACACTGAGGCTACACAGTACATTTTTGCAGGACAGTGAGTGCTATCCCAAAGGAGAGAGCTAACCAGGTCTCTCCAGGTGCCCAGCACACAGCTACAGCTACAGCTAAACAACCACACGGGCACAGAACCTCCCCAGTATTCCCCACTGTGCACTGTGAGTCCAAGTCAGGACCTCCTCACTACCTACTGGGTAGATTCCCATTCACTTACTGATTCATTCACTATCTATTTACCCCCTATTTGGGGCCGGCTCCTAGCCGGGGACGACTCAGGGGCTAAAGTTCTTCACAAGTCACCTCATCTGTGCATTTTCCACAGCTTTCACCTGCAAAGAGGGCAAAATTAAATTACATGGAGGCCCTCACTTGCTGGGTATACTGGTGCCCACTTGGAATCCCAGCACTTGAGAGGCTGAGGTAGGGAGAGTTCAAGGCCAGCCTGGGCTGCATAGTGAGACCCTGTCTTAAAAAATAAAAAATAAAAAATAAAATAAAAAGGAACCTCTCAGTTTTTTTTAATCATTACAGTACTAAACTTCATAGCCTAATAACAGAGAAGACACATTTTCAGGTACACAGAGCAAAATATTTATGAAAACCAACTACATGCTAATGTACAAAAAAAGTGTAATAAATTCCATGCTGTCAAGTTCATACAAACATATTGCTATCACTGTGCTGTAAAACTATAAATTAACTTGAAAGATGAAATATCCTATAAGCCTGGATATGCTACTCATGTCTAAGTGACTGCCATGTCAAAATACTAACATTATCAAAAAATGCACAATATGCCTAAAAGTTGTAATATTTTACATCACAATCCCTAGTTAATCACACACAAAATAATAGTGAATAATAAGGAAAAAATTGTTTAAGTATGTGAAACTTTAAAATGATGTTACTTTGGAAAACTTCATTCCATTAAATTTGAAATCCTAGAAGAAACTGATAATAGACCAAAATGACCCTGGGAGACAAAGGTCAAACAGCAGCTTATTTCAGGAATGTAAGAATGATTCATGAGAGGAAATCTATTGAAATTATCAATCTGAAAAATCAAAACACAAAAGTCAATAGCATTATTGTACACAAAAGTGAATTTACCAGGAAATAAATTAAGAAAAAATACCATTGGCAGTAAGTTCAAGAAAAATTTAACACTTATTTAATCTATGAAAGGAAGTAAAAGGCCTCTAGAATCATAACCCCAATGCTATGAAAAAGTATCAAGAAGAACATCATAAAAAGGAAGGATATCCCGTGTTTTGGACAGGGAGAATGAATTTTGCTGAATTGGAAATATTACCGAAACTGATCTGTAGGTAATACAGTCGCAGTCACACTGCATCCCCCAAGGAACTATTGAAACCATCTCACAAGTCAATCGAAACAGAAGAGACCTAGAGGAGTAAAAATAGTCCTGGGCAGCACTTCAAAGCAGGAGACAGCACAATCCAAGATTTCAAGTTACGTTACAGAGCCACAGTGATTAAAAACAGCATGGAACTGGCACAGAACTGGACACACCAAATCAGTGGGATTGAATGCAAGGAGCAGGGGTAACAGCAGGCACATTCAGCCAGAAGCTTTGACCAAAAAGCTCAAAACCAGATTAACTCAGTGGAGGAACCGTGAATAAATTCCATGCAGTTGTGCCTTCTCCTGTATGAGTAACTAAGTCTAGGAATAAATACAATAAAATGGAAAGAGGAAAGGAAACTACAAGGTAGTCTTCTAAAGAAGGAAAATTGGATGAAAGGAAGGTAAAAAGATTGGGGGGGGGGTCAGTGAATTTAAGATGATAAAGATGTGTTATATGTGTTTAAAAAATTTTCCCCAGAAGCTCATTATGACTTGTTACTAATGTAATGTCATACATAAATTCAATACAATGCAGTGATGACAGATTAGATTAGAATGTGTCCCCCAGATTCCTATTCTGGAGTTGATTTTCCAATGCAATAGTGTTAAGAGGCAAGGGCTTCCAGAGAAAGAGGTCTCATGGCTCTGTTGGTGTTCATGAAATAGTTTTGGGGAGTTGGTTTGCCCCCTTCCACTCCTTCTGCTGTGTTAACACACAGCCTTCCTCCTCCTACAGTATGTAGCTAAAAGCCACCACCCAGGAAGTAGAGGACTGGGCCCCACCAAACTCAGAGCCTGCCAGGTCCTTGATCCTAGGGGTCTTCTGATTCTGAGCAGTAAAGTTCTGTTTTGTATAAATGGCCAAACTCAGACAGTTTGTTACAGTAGCACAGACTAAAACCATTACCATCTTTATTTGTATT